ATCCAAACCTCCGATTGCTTCCTCTTCATGGACACCAGGTTTTGGGCGGCCCGCCTCATGGACGAAAGTAGCTACGCAGAGTTTACCCGAGTGCTTCGTGAGGACAAAGATTAGTACAGACGAACCCGATGTTAAGATAAATACGCTGAAATTTCAATGAAGTCGGATCTATAAAACTGAAATAAAAAAGAAAAATTGGACACATCAAATTGATAACGGAGTTCGGCCAATACTGTTTGCGTCTCCGGACTACTACAGATATTTTATTTAGGAGACATGAAATACACCCATGTTTACAAAACACTATCAAACTCACTCACAACTCACAACTCAAAAAGCTAAGATTTTTTTTATTAGCCACTCTCTTTTTCTTCTTGTATTTTTGTTGTTATTTTTGGTGTGTTTCTTCCGTTCATCAAATTGCTCATCTATTTATAGGAGAAAAATGCAATGTGAATTGTACTCAATTGTCAAAAAACAACACCTTTGCATGTGTTTAATGTTTGGTCAGATTATGGCACCTTTACCTAACTTTCAACATTCGAAAGCATCACCAGGCCCAAGTATGTGGCTTTTTGGAACACGGCCCACCAGAATATGTTTGTTGAGATTCTCAAAACAACTCTCAGCCCAAATATGTGGCTTTTTGGAGCAAGCTTATTGCCTACCATATTCTGTTTATTGAGATTCTCAAAACAACTCTCATCAGAGTATGTGGCTTTGTGGAGCAAGCTCCTGGCCCACCAGAACATGTTTGTTGAGATTCTGAAAACAATTCAAAATAGTTGGTTGTCCTTGTGGAGGCCGGGATTCACATCTAATTATGCTAGAATTATTTTATTAATAAACATATGAAAATATTGCAAATAAGGTATTGTTTTTTATACATTTTTATTCGCTATAAACATTTGTCTTCCATCAATCTGAAATGTGAATGTCGATGTCTGTATGATATCCATATAATATATCTCAATCGCATATTATTAAAAAATGATAGTAAATAAATTATAATTTAAGTTAATAATTAATATTCTTAAAATATTATAGAGATAATAAAAAGTACGACAAAATTTTATTTATTATACTTTAAAATGTTTCTCTAATTAATATAACATTATTAGTAGATGAATTGTATTCAATATTCATTATTATCATTATCATCATAAATAATAATCATCATACAACAAGGATTTCTGACTCTAGAAACAACATATAAATGATTGCGACTATAAAATACCATATGTTATTTTCATACATAATTACAAATAAAATAAATTTAACTTATAAAAATATTTGTGATATTCGATGAAAATTAGTATGTCACATTAATAAATCGCCTTGAATTTTTTCCCAAAAAATATCTTGATAATAACATAATTTTCTTAATTTGTGAATAACTAAAGACATTACTTCTATGATACAAATAAATTAATATATAATAATTGAAATAAACATAAACAAAAATAAGTTCTATGGACGCCGTCGTTGTCACCTGTCGCGCATACGTTGCCGATGCCAATGTGGCCAAGAAGCTCAAGAACGCCTCAAGTCGGGCCTATCACGCACGCAAGAGGCTAGCACGAAAGACGG